GGGAGCCCGCAGAGCGAAAACCGAAGCATTGGCGAGCCACAGCGGGAAGCCGCGCTGCTTGAGGCCTGGTGCAGACGGTCGTGCAAGATCTGCTCGGACGCCTCTGGCGCCTGCCACGGGCCCATCATGATGGACGCCGACGCCCAGTCCCGGCCGGCGCGCGCGGCGCCCATCATCGGCTGCCAGAACGCGCGGTCGCAACTCTTGCCAGAGCTGGCCCACCAGCACAAGCGTCGCGGTCCTTCTTTGACTGCTTCGAGATGGGCCTGCGACGCTGGCCGCGCGCGCGCGAAAGCTCCGAGCAAGGCGATCGGCCTGAGGCCCCCGTCCGACTTCGGGGCGAAGGCGAGCTCCGCGTCGAGGGGCGGCCAGTCGCAATCCTGCTCGACGGCCACGAGGAAGTCGACCAAGGCCCCGACGCCCTCGCTGCTCAGACCGCCCAGCTCGCAGGGCCTGAGGGAGCCGATGGAGGAGCCGCTCGACCCCTCGAAAGGCGCAGATCACACCCATGACCTCCTGGGCGGCGGGGCGCGGCGGCCGCTCGCCCAGCTTGTCGAGCCAGGTCGCGCCCTCCTTCCAAAGGGGGGCCTCTGGCGGCTGAGAGACGCCGACTCCCCAGTACCCTGACCGCTCCATCATCAAGGCTTCAATGATCTGTGGGAGAGCCGAAAGCCCCTCGTCTTTCAGTCCCCAGGGCCGAGGTCGCCAGCCCTAGGGGAGGCGCGGTCAGGGAGCGGGCGGCCTTTGCACCCTTGGAGTGGCGCTCCACGACCCAGTCGTTGAAGGTGCCCCCGCTCTCGTCGGCGCCGCGCTCGACGAGCCAGTCCGCCATGGCGCCCGCAGCGTAACTGGCCGCCCGCAGCTGGTAGACGCCCATGCGCTCGGCCGCCTGCGCGAAGCCGAGGAGGGCGAGGTTGGCTCGGCGTGTCTCGACCCGCCCATCGCCCGCCGAGCCCGGCTGCTTGCCGCGCGGCTCCTCGAGCGCCCCCAGAGCACGGGGCCCCCTGGGCGGGAAGACGCACTGCGCGACGCCCTCACCGCCACCCCCCCGCCCCGAGCAGCGCCGGGCGCCAACCGCAGACAAGGGGGCGACGGCATCAGCTCATCGACGACGGCAGGCGTCGGCCGCCGCGCTCGCCAAGCGAAGGCGTTGCACTCGTGTTTGGGCCGACGGCGTCGAGCATGTTCCACTCGGCGATCTAGACGACGCGCTGCCATTTGCCGTCGAGCGCAGCGGCCCGAGAGATGCCCCCCCTAGCCCGGGCCCACGCGCAGCCTTCGCTGCAGCGCGTCCTCGGGAGCGGGAACGGCAACTTCTCGGGGCGAAGCGCGCCCCGCGCGCTTGGCCGCGGAGCTGGCGCTGAAGCGCAGCTCGACAGGCCAGCGCTGCACTGGGGCCCCAGCCGCGCTTGACCCTGGCCGATGCCCCCGAGACGACGCGCGACGCGACGATGGAGATATGCGACCCGACGGCCCTCGGCGGGCGACGCCACCTTGCCCGAGACGCGCTCCGAGAAGCCCGCGCACGCGAGTTCACGCGGCCCCGCGTCGAAATCCACCGCGGCGACGATGGGCACGTTGATGGCGCGGAAGCCCCGCGCCACCGCGTCGAGGACGCTGAGGTCGAAGGCGGCGAGGCCCTTGCTGACCTCGAGGCGCGCGTTGCGCCGGGCGAGCCCACCGGGAGAAGGCCCCGCCTCGCGCGCGACCTCGGCGCGGCCTGGGGCCAAGACCACGCCCTGCTCCGTCTCGAAGTCGCCGAGGCCGCCAGACCTCGGCGCGAGCTGCAGCAGTCCTCCGAGGCCAGTCACTGGCCTCGGTCGGAGGACTGCTGCAGTGAGACCGGTCACTGCTCACACGGGCCGCCAGCGTGAGCCGCAGAGACACCCACGGCAGGGGCGGCGACAGCGCGCCATCCTTGCCGAGCCAGCTTTTCAGACACCTCGTCGCATAGCTGCTCGCGATCACGTCGAAGGTCTGGATCGAGTAGTCGGGCAGCAGCCCTTCAAACCTGCTGCGCGCGTGGGCGTCGATGGTCAGGGCAGCCCACCATGGCCTCGAACGACGGCGACCCCCCTGTCCTTGATTTCATCGCAATTCACAAGACCTCCATTGCGTCGTAGACTCGCTTGCGCTCTTCCTCATCACCGCACCCATGCAGGGTACAACCAGGACCATCAGCAGCAATGAGCGCTTCGAAAGCGTCATCGTCCGCGGATTGTGTTCCTGGCGAGGCTGGCTGCGCGCCAACGGCAGCTGGCGCGGGGCCCCCTGCGGCTGGCTGCCCTCCAGCCGCGGGCTCGCCGTGAAGGGCCACAGGGTGCTGGTGGCGCCGCAGCTGGCGCGCGGGCCTAGTCGGCGAGCTCGTTGCCCATCTTGGAAAGCTGCTCGAAAAGGTCCTGCCATGAGACGCCGTCCGTGTTGAGCTTGTTAGCTTGTCCTTGATGCACACTGGGCTGATGCTACCCTGCGCGCCGTAGAGCGCGGTCGCCTCCCGCCTGGCCTCCGCGAGCTCGGCCTCGACCTTCTCGATATCCGATGTCGTCTTGCGCACCTGATCAAGAGCCTTAAAAGGCATCTCTTGGTCGCGCTGAACCCTCGACTTAGCGTCTGCCAATCGACGGGCCATTGGTCCACCCGCTGCGTAGCTGCTTCGCAACCCGTCCACCAGCAGCAGCACGGCGAGCAGCCGCAACTTTGCTGCGACTTCCCTGACTGAAAGCGAACTTGTTCGTCTCCCTGGTCGCATCGTCGAAACCCGACCAGGTATTTTCCTGCTCCGCCGAGAGGATGCTGCCAGGTCCAGACTTGCCAAGCTTGGAGAGAGCGTGATCCACCGCCGCTTTACTGTGGAAAATTGCCAACCTTTTCCTCCGGAACCCGGGGGTCTCCCCCCCCCCTCCGAAAATCCCCCCCCTCCCGGAACCCCTCCCCCCCCCATCCCGGCAAAAACCCCCCCCTCCCCCAACCCCTCCCCCCCCCCCTCCCCCTCGAAAACCGGGGGGGGGTCACTACCGGTTCGAAACCCCCCCCCCCCCCCCCTCCGGATCCGGAAAACCGGGGGGGGTCACTACCGGTTGGAACCCCCCCCCCCCTCGAAAACCGGAGGGGGGTCACTGCCGGTTCGACCCCCCCCCCACGCACCGCCAGCAAACGACTCCCGGTCCCTACCACCGCTCGCATCACATCCCCCACTGTTGTTCCCAGCACCACTGTCCTCACCACCACTGTCCCCACTGGTTCCACCACCGTCCCTATTGTCCCCACCAATGCCCCCACCACTGTCGCACTGTCCCCACTGTTCCCACAACTGTTCCCACCACGGTTCCACTCTCCCCACTGTCTCCACGGACCCAACCACTGCCTATCCCCATTGTCCCCACTGTCCCACTGACTCCTCCGCTGTCCCACTGAGCTGTCCCACTGTTTCCACCACTGTCCCCACTGTCCCCACCACTGTCCCCACTGTACCTCTGTCCCATTGTCCCACCGCCGTCCTCGCCACCGCCTTTACCAGTGTCCTCCACCACCATTGTACCCTCCACTGTCCCAGTGTTTCCACCTCATTCCCACTGTCCCCACACCACTGTCCCCACCACCACCGTTCCCACCACTGTCCACTGTCCCCCCTGTTCCCACCATTGTCCCCACCACTGTCCCCACCACTACCGTCCCCACCACTGTCCCACTGTCCCCCCACTGTCCCCACCACTGTCCCGCTGTCCCCTCACCACTGTCCCCACCAACACCGTCCCCACCACTGTCCGCACCCCCACTCGGTTTTCGAGGGGGGGGGGGGGGGGGGTTCGAACCGGTAGTGACCCCCCCCCCTTTTCATGATGAGCTGGGGGGGGGGGGGGGGGGGTTCGAACCGGTAGTGACCCCCCCCGGTTTTCCGGAGGGGGGGGGGGGGGGGGGGAGGGGTTCGAACCGGTAGTGACCCCCCCCCGGTTTTCCGCCAGCAGCGGTAGAACACGCTCTTTCCAAGCTTGGGATCCCAGCCGCCTCCTCCGTTGCCGTAGCCGTTGTTGCTGCCCTCGCAGCCGCTAAAGGTCTTGCCATTCTGCCCCCATTGACGACGATTGGGTCCGCCAGCCCACTGTCCGCGTAAGGGTGGTGCTCGAGTTCCCCATTGCTGGCGAGGCACGCGAGGCCGAACTCCACCACATCCAGCACTGCCGCACTCAGACGGGCCGCAAAATGAAGCTCTCAACATACGCATTGCCACTGTGCTGCCGTGGCCGAGAAAAGCACAGGGCAATACGTGCTCGCGGGACAACACACGCGCAAGCCGTCGATGGACCACTCCGCGGCCCAACGGTCTCCGCCTGGAGGCCGCGGGGCATATCATCTGGACCCCAATTGGTTACGCAAACCACTCGGGGCCTTCGGTGGAATTCCCCATGGGCCCTCGATCCTCGTGAGGGGTGTGCCGGAAGGGGTGCGGTGCCGCCGTGCCAACGCAGCCACCAGGGCCTCCGGTGGAGCTCCCTATGGGACGACCACCCTCGCGACGGGTGTGCCAAGATGGGCGCGATGCCGCCAGGCCGTCGGTGGCGCTCCCCATGGGGCCCCGATCCTCGTGAGGGGTGTGCCGAAATGGTTGCGGTGCCGCCGCGCGACGCAGCCACTGGGGTCTTCGGTGGAACTCTCTATGAGGCAGCGGTTATCGCGAGGGGTGTGCCGAAATGGGTGTGGTGCCGCCATGTGAACGCAGCCACTGGGGTCGTCGGTGGAGCTCCTTATGGAACCACAAAATGTGTGAGGGGTGTGCGGACACGAGTGGAGTTCCACCATGCGAGCGCAGCCACTGAGGCCTTCGGTGAAGTTCGCTCTGGGGCCAACGAAACGTGTGAGGGTTGTGCCGAACTTGTTGACATGCGAAGGGCGGAGGCAGGGAGAAGAGAAAGGAGGAAGGAACGCGGGGCACTCTCTTCAAAACAAAGACCCAACACCACAGGACGGTTGGGAACAAGGAGGGGGGATAGGAGGGGAGGCGCCAGAGAGATGGAGAGCAAGCGAGAGAGAGCCAACACTGTAAACTCACCCAGGGCGCGCCGGGCGCCTAACAGCGCCGCCGCCAGCCATAAGTAGCCTGGTGGCCATCCTCTTCGCCCCAGGCCCACCTCCTCGTCCGTTTGCCCTCAACCGCACATCTTGCAAGATGAGATTGCAACGAAACTTGCTGTGTTCCCTCACGCCAGTTGCCGACACGGCTGCCCGATGAGCTGTGCGAGCTTCGAACACAAAAGGCCAAGCTTGGAATCATCCCACGTTTGCGGTCTTCGGCAACCGAGGAAAGAGTCGTCTGAAGGATGCGTATGCGGGCGGCCGCCTTGGGTACCGTATGCAATGAAGAGTTTGTTTGATGGAACGGGCGGCACGTCGACAAATGACTCCCACCTCGACACCGCTCCTCGTTCTGTTGCCGCCTCCTCCCCCCGCCTCTCCTCCTCTGCTCCTGCTCCACCCTTCCCAGAGGGCGCAGCTAAAGTATGAGAGAGCACATCCATCCGACAAAGCGACCCAGAAGCGCGTGTGCCCCGACCGTTCCACGAAGGCACACCTCTGCACGTGCATCGACCTGGGTCTGCAGAGCGCCCCCCCGTGCCAGGTAGAATGCCACCGTGGGAACGGGGTGCAGCTGGACCGAGCAAAAACTGCTGTGGCGGGCTTCCGAATCCTTCACACGGCCGTCGGGCTGTCCTGCAGCTGCTTCCCAACGTCGGAGAGACTTCTCGGGGAAGACGGCCCGATACGGTCGGAAAGACTCCCCCAGCCAGGCCCAAGACACCCCCCGAACAGCGAGGCCTTCCCCAAGACGGCCTCCACTGCCCCCAACGGGCGCCCAAGGCGCACCCCGCGTGGCCCCCGCGAGATCCATGGGAGGCCCCCAGGAGGCCGTGCAAAGCTACAGCGTTGCCACGCTGCTGCCCCAGGGCGCTGGCGGGTATGCGCTGCAACACAACTGGATACCTATACGACCACCCTTCGGGTGATAAGGAGGTTGTGGGGGGAGGGAAAGGGGGAGGAACCAACATCTGACTCAATCGATCTCAATATCGATCTCACTCAACGCGACACCACGGGACACCACGGGACACCACGGGACACCACGGGGCACTTGTCGATCTCTCTATCGATCTCAAGACCGATATCACTATCGATCTCACTATCGATCTCACTCAACGGGACACCATAGGACACCACGGGACACCACGGGACAACTCTCGATCTCACTATCGAGCTCACTATCGATCTCACTAGCGATCTCACTCAACGGGACACCATAGGACACCACGGGACACCACGGGACACTTGTCGATCTCTCTATCGATCTCAAGACCGATCTCACTATCGATCTCACTATCGATCTCACTCAACGGGACACCATAGGGCACCACGGGACACCACGGGACAACTCTCGATCTCACTATCGATCTCACTATCGATCTCACTCAACGGGACACCATAGGACACTACGGGACACCACGATACACCTCGGGTCACCACATCGATCTCACTAACGATCACACTATCGATCTCACTATCGATCTCACTCAACGGGACACCACGGGACACCACGAGACACCACGGGACACCTGTCCATCCCACTATCGATCTCACTGTTTGGGACACCACGGGACACCTCGGGCCACCACATCGATCTCAGTATCGATCTCACTATCGATCTCACTATCGATCTCACTGAACGGGACACGAGACACCACGGGACACCTGTCCATCTCACTATCGGTCTCACTATCGATCTCACTTTTTGGGGCACCACGGGACACCACGGGACAACTCGGTGCACCACATCGATCTCACTATCGATCTCACTATCGATCTCACTATCGATCTCACTCAACGGGACACCACAGGACACCACGGGACACCACGAGACACCACGGGACACCTGTCCATCTCACTATCGATCTTACTATCGATCTCACTCAACGGGACACCACGGGACACCACGGGACACCACGGGACACCTCGGGTCACCACATCGATCTCACTAACGATCTCACTGCTTGGGACACCACGGGACACCACGGGACAACTCGGGGCACCACATCGATCTCACCATCGATCTCACTATCGATCTCACCATCGATCTCACTATCGGTCTCACTATCGATCTCACTATCGGTCTCACTATCGATCTCACTTTTTGGGGCACCACGGGACACCACGGGACAACTCGGGGCACCACATCGATCTCAGTATCGATCTCAGTATTGATCTCAGTATCGATCTCAGTATCGATCTCACTATCGATCTAACTATCGATCTCACTCAACGGGACACCATGGGACACCACGGGACACCACATGACACCGCGGAACACCGCGAGCCACCGCCGGACGGACGGACGGACGGACGGGCGGGGGAGAATCATTTGTCTTGACTTCGCCCTAGCAACGGCGGACACCGCGGGACACCGCGAGCCACCGCCAGCACGGGCGGGAGAGAGGGGGAGAATCATTTGTCTTGACTTCGCCCTAGCAACGGCGGACACCACGGGACACCACGGGACACCACGGGACACCGCGGGACACCGCGAGCCACCGCCGGACGGGCGGGAGGGAGGGGGAGAATAATTTGTCTTGACTTCGCCCTGGCAACGGCGGACACCACGGGACACCACGGGACACCGCGGGACACCGTGAGCCACCGCCGGACGGGCGGGAGGAAGGGGAGAATCATGTGTCTTGACTTCGGCCTCGCCGGCACGCACGACACGAACGAAACCAAACGATTTCCCCGTTGGGGGTCTCCGTTCCACTGCGATCTCACCCCCCAACCTCCGACCACCTGTCGTTTCTGCGCGGTACCAACTTCTGCCGCATGCCTTCACCAACGGCATCAATGCGGGACACTTGCCGCAGCTGCAAGCCACTGCAAAGCTGGCATACGAAGATTACAGGAAGGCCTACGCCATGGATCAGCTCGTACATCGGCTCGCCGTCAGCTTCCAAAGCCTCCAGGAAATCCTTGCCACCTGAAACAATGGCCATGGGTGTGAGGGAAAGGAAACAAAAGGAAAGGGATCGGCAAGAGGGGGGGGGGTCGCAAATAGCGAGAGGGAGAAAGATAGAAACAGAGAGAGAGAGAGACAGGCAAACAGAGATAAAGCAAACACAGAAGAGGAGAGAGAGAGGGGGAAAATATACACATACAGATAACAAAGGAAAGAGCCAGAAAGAGAGGGAAACAGGAGAGGTGAGAAAGAAACAGAGAGAGAGAGAAACCACGAGTACATAGCGGCGTGAAAGAGAGAGAGAGAGAGAGAGAGCGGGAGAAAGAGAGGGAGAGAGAAAGAGAGAGAAACAAAAAACATGAAAATGTAAAACAAACAGATGCGAATGTCCGTATGTACGGAAAGAGGGAACGAGAAACATAACATAAAGAGAGAGAGAGAGATGCACAAACACCATGATGAGAGATGGGGGGAAAGACACCTAGACAACCATCAGCACAGCAACTACACAAGTCACAGCGGCGGATGGGAACGAGAAGGCTAAGGCAAGATTCCAAAAAGGAAGCAGCGCCCCAAACCGCACTCACCCCCCCCGCCTCCAGTCTAGATCCTCCGGCTGGCCGTGCGCCCACCAACCGGCACCCTGCCGGCGCCCCCGAGCACGTATCGGCCCCCGCTGGCACCTCGGACTTCCCGACGGGAGGAGGAGGAGAGGGAGGAGGTCCAGGCGGGACAGCCCTGGCCAGCGGCCTCCCCCCTCGGCGACGGGATGTGGCGGTGGCCGCGCTCTCCCCCTGCCCTGACGAGAGGACCCCGCCCACCCTCGACCACCATCCGGACCGCGGCGCCACCCTGAGGGGTCAGGGCCTCTCGGGCCACGCGGGGGCAGCTGAGAAGGATCGGTGTCGCCACTCAAAAACCGATGGGGCGGCTCGCGGCCCCATCGACCTCTCCCAGGGCCCCTCTCGGGGATCATCGGGAAACCTCGGCTCAGGCGAACGAGCCGCCGTCGCCCCCCGAGGCAGCTCCAACCACAGCATAGGACAAGCGGAAGGAGAAGGCGAGCAGGAGAAGGGCGGGATGGATGGGGCAGGGGAGGGGGGTCAACGCGAGAGCAGGGGGCGCGAGGACGCACCTAGACAACACACCTTCGCCGCTAGATATCACACCATGGTCGCCGCGAGAGGACAACTATGACGAAAACGGCAAGCATGACGATGGCATCGATGATTCTCGTTTGCCAAAGTGCGGCCAAGGACTTGAGCAGCACAACAGCTCATGCATCGTCATGAACGACCTGACCGGACAGTAACGGGAAGTGAAGTATACCATGTTGTTGGTTTTTCTCTGAGGCCTCTAAACTGCCTCCAAGAGGCCTCCGAGAGGCCTCCCACGAGATCCCAACGAACATCCAATAGGCTTCGCACCCACAACTCAGGCGTGGTGGTGGGATGGGCCGAAGGCACTCAGATGATTGGTCCACACAAAGTGCTTGAGCTAACCTGGCGATGTATGGATGAAAATTGCTCAAGGTTTGACGATCGACGATGTCGGGGTCGTCGTCCACCTGGGGGGCGTCTCCTGCCCTCGGATGGGACGCCTCTGGGGGACCTGGGAGACTGTTAGGGTCACACTGCGGCACAAGACCCTAAGCCGCTTGGGAGGGATCTCAGGCCGTTTGGGGGGCGTGTTGGGGCCCCTCTGGGGGCTCTCGTGGGAAGGCCTCCTGGGGCATCTTTCAGCGATGTCAAAAACCCTCTCAGGCCGCCCTGGGGCTGTTCTGTGCCATCCTCGGGAGCCGTGGGCGTCCGTGGGCTCCCCTGGGGGTGTCTGGAGGGCTCCTTTTGAGCTCCCCCGGGAACCTGCAGGGGTGATGAGCTCAATCCCTGGCAGAAGGGTTCAGTCCCCGGCAGAAGGGTTGAATCCCCGGCAGAAGGATTCAATCCCTGGAAGCAGGTCGGGAGGAGGAGAAGAAGGAGCAGGAGGTGATGATGATGATGATGATGATGATGACGATGATGATGATGATGATGATGATGATGATGATGATGATGGTGATGATGCTGATGGTGATAATGGTGATGGTAATGGTGATGATGATGATGATGATGCTGCTGCTGATGATGATGATGATGATGATGATGATGATGATGATGATGATGATGATGATGATGATGATGATGCCGATGATGCCGATGATGACGATTCTCCAAATAGACTTGCCCTGTAGGAATTCTAACTCAAGCCCTACTAATTGGTCCGTTGTCCCCCTCCTAATGCCCCCCAAATTCCAATGGCTATGCCTATGCCTATGTCTATGCCTCCCCCCTAACTCCTATGCCTATGCCTATGTCTATGCACATGGCTATGCTCGTTTGCGCTTCCTTGCTTCCGCTTGCTTGCTTGCGCTTGCTGGATGTTGCTCCTCCCGTCCTGCTCCCGTCCTCCTTTCGTCCTCCTCCCATCCTCCTCTCGTCCTCCTCCTGTCCTGCTATCTATTTGGAGCCAACGCTGGCTGATATGATGATGATGATGATGATGATGATGATGATGATGATGATGATGATGATGATGATGATGATGATGATGGTGATGGTGATGGTGATGGTGATGGTGATGGTGATGGTGATGGTGATGATGATGATGATGATGACGACGATGATGATGATGATGATGATGATGATGATGATGATGATGATGATGATGATGATGATGATGATGATGATGATGATGGAAAGATGCCGCGGCGGAGCAGCGCCTGTGGAGTCCTCCGCGGCGGCGTCCGGATCGAACGGCCACGCGTCCGCGGCGCCGGCCGGCAGCGGCGGGCCGGTGAAGGTCGCGCGCGCAAAGAGCTGCAAGGCACACACGGCCACCAGCAGGACGCCGAGCTCCCGGGCGGCCTGGAGCCCAGGGAGGAGGCCCAAGGACCATCAACAGACAATTGGAGATGAAAACTGGTCCCAGGGAAGGGGTCCAGACCTCGATGGGGGGGTCCAGGGACCTCTGATGTCGTCACCTGGGTTCGCCAAGGGCTGAAAGCATTATGCTGTCCATCGACTCGCGCTGGAGCGTCCACTGATTTTTCCAGATGTACCTGGATACCTATGGATTTGCCTCGATCTGCCGGAGCTCTTACCTCGATATATCTGGATGTACCTTCGATTTATCATCTGGCTTGATCCCCGCATGCCGATTGAAGAACAGCCTTCAGGCCCTGAGGGAGGGGTGTGCTAAGTTCTGCCCTCGACGCTCGCGGGTCACGGGGGGAAGCTCCTGGACGTCAGTGGCACCCCGTCGGACCTCTCCCCAGGCCTCTCCCAGGGCCTCCAGGGACCTCCATTGACCTCCGGGACCTCCGGGGACCTCCGGGGACCTCCGGGGGTCAGGATGCGGGGCGGCAACTGAGCTTGCCGGTCTCCATCGTTCTCGTCATCGCGCCATCGTCATCGCGTCATCGTCATCGGCGCCATCACTACAATCAGCCATCCTCGCCTTCGTGTGCATCCCCGTCCTCATCATCGATTCTCCTCGTCCTCGCCGTCCTTGTCCTTGTCGTCGCACTCGCCCTCGCCGTCTCCTTGTTCCTCGCCCTCGCCCTCCTCGTCTTACCCGGTTCAACAAAAAAAGCTGTCGGGTTCTCGAGGCACGTTGTGTTCATCGTTCCGTCCTCGCCATCCCGTCGCACTCTCCAGATCCTGCTCGCACCCTGCCTGGCGCAACTCGTACTCCTCCCCCTCGGCCTGCCCCCCCTCCATCTCGTGTTCGTATTCTTCTATATTCCCCTCTTGCACCTGGATCCTCTGCCTCTTCCCCCTGCTACCCCTGCTGCTCCTTCTCCTCCTCCTCCTTCTTCCTCCTGTTCTCCTCCTCCTGCTGCTCCTCCTCCTGCTCCTGCTCCTTCTCTTCTTCCTCCTCTTCTCCTCCTCCTGCTGCTCCTCCTCCTCCCTCCTCCCTGTTCCCTCCTCCCGCCTCCCTCC